ATTCCTTCTACTCTTTGTTCCCATTCCTGCTTTCCTGCATCAGTTGATGTTGTAAATAGAGGAGATAGTCACAATATTCCTTTACATTCATTTTCAATTGTAAATATATCACCACATTCACTCGTCAATGTAAATAACCTTAATTCAAGAAATAAAACTAACTCCTCCTTTGGCATACATTCTTTTCTGTCATCTATTACATCTCATGGGGACAATGTTGAACATCTATGGCATAACAAACTAGGTCATGTACCCTTTGTGAAAATGAGAAGGATATCGACCATACATGTTAATATTTCTCTTAAACAACCTTTTCTCTGTTCCGTCTGTCCCATGGCAATGAAGACAAGACTACCATTTTCCCATAAAACATAATCTACTACTCAAACCTTTGAACTTTTACACATAGATTTATGGGGCCCCTATCTCATAGCTACACATGATAACTATAAATATTTTCTTACCATGGTTGATGACTTTAGCAGATCAACATGGACACACCTTCTGAGTAGTAAAAGCAACACCCTTCAAGCCATTAAAACCCACATTTCTATGATTGAAAACCAGTTCAATTCTTCAGTCAAAGCTGTTAGAACTGATAATGGGCTAGAATTTGTAAATAGTGAGTCCATGCTATTCTTTCAAGACAAAGGCACAATTCACTTGAAAACCTGTCCATACACACCACAAAAGAATGGTATGGTGGAAAGAAAACACAAATATCTACTAGAAATTGCAAGGGCCCTACTTTATCAATCCAAATTACCAATGAGATATTGGGGGAGTGTATCCTAACGACCAGCTATACATGATACAGATTATCCTCCACAATCATTAATACGTAATGCCCTTTTGAGCTTCTTTATAACAGAAAACCAACCTACTCACACCTTAAAAACTTTGGTTGCTTATGTTACACCACTACACTCAAAACACACAAAGATAAATTTGAACCAAGGGCTACTCCTGATGTATTTGTAGGGTATCCCTTTGGGGTGAAAGGATATAAGGTCTTGGACCTAGCCACAAAGAGGGTACATGTATCTAGAGATGTTTTGTTCTATGAAGATGTGTTTCCTTTTGCCATTTCACCTGAACATTCTTCCTTTCCTTCTATCTTGCATATGGTAAATACTAATTCTTCATGTCCAAACACCATAGTGAATTATTCTGATGATCATTGTACGGTTGATAGCAATGCATCAATTTCTGCCACTAGTATTCCTATATCTGAAGATACACAACCCCGGTTATAAATACATCACCAAATTCTCCAAACTCTTTAAGCCTATATAACCATGACTCACACCTCAGCCTAGAATCAAACAACAGAAACCATACTGATCGTCCTATAATCGGAAGCCATTCAGAAACACATGTATCACCCCTTGAGCAAATACATCATATGGAACCTGATAATAACCAACCGAATCCTATACAACATAGGAGATCATGTAGAACACTCATCACCCCTTCTCACCTTAAAGACTGTGTGTACACTACCAAATCTATAACCACATAACCATTCAAGCAATAGTATAAATGCTGAACATCAACCAAGCTTCTTCATCCACATCACTCACTTCCCTTTTTACCAACAGTCATTCTGTATCCTTCAATGCTTTAGGCCATGATATTCAGCAGCTGGTGAAGAACATTTCACATGAGTCTGAACCAAGCTCTTATGAGGAGTGATCTCGTCCAAGTTACACCTCTATTTAAGGTTATGAAACGGTTGATGCAATAGTAATACCCAACAAGGAGTCGGGGTTGATTTTTCACAAGGAGCTATGAATGGGACTTAGGGGTGTATATTATAGTGTATGAGCTTGAATTATCTCAATTTGCACTTCCACAAACTTGGAATTGTTTCTAGGTTTAATTTAAACTAAGATTGCAAGCTGAGAAATGAAACTAGGAAATTATTTTTGTTATTTTTTCAAATGATATAAAAGTCCTAGGGCTATGACCTTCACCTAGGTGTTTGCCTAATGAGTTGTAAACTTTAAAGCTTGTTTTATTGGTCGGGGTATATTATAGCTATCAACACTCAATTACCCACTCAATACCTCTCGATCAGAGAGTGACTTTGCCCAATTTAGCTTTTTCAAGTCCAATTGGGTGATGCACAAAATGGTTGATAAAAGCTCAAGTCGAGTTTTACTATCTCTAGGTTCAACCCTTTAATTGGGCTTATCAATCTCTCGATTGACCTAGTTTTTTGTTAGTCAAGCTTTCCTAGACTAAGTCTCTCTTTCTCAAGTAGAAACCATGTCAAATAGGTATGAACTAATATTTGCAACCATTAATTCTACAATTAAAAGCAAGAACAAGCCTAAATAATAAATACCCGACCAAAAACAAACAATAAATTAAACACCCATTAAGATTACACTCTAGGGTTGGGTCACAACCCTAGTGAATATCTAGCTACTCATGCTTAAAATAGAAGAAGTAGAAGAAGAAATGATAATTAAACCCATATTGATAATTAAAATGATGAAATCAATGTTCAAAAAGCTCAAAATAGCAAAACCTACTAAAGAGAGTAAAAGAAACCGTCTACTGTAGCAGCTGATGTCAAAACTTGACCTAAAAAAGTGAAACTTTCTATTTATATAGGGCTGGAATTTTCAGACAAAAATGCCCTTTCGGAGGTTCTGCGGCCGCACAATTTCATGTGTGGTCCGCACTTTTCTTCAGTATTGACAGGGTTGGAAATCTGCGGCCGCATAAGACTGCGGCCACACTGCTCTCTTTCTGCGGTCCGCACAATAATGTCTGCGGCTGTACCTTGATCTTCTGCGGTCCGTACAAATATGACTGCGGCCGTGTAGCTTTTCTTCTACGGCTGCACAATAATTGTGCGGCCCACACTTTTGTTGGACTTGAGATGTAGGTTCTCTGATCTTTTTCTCTGACCCAGTTTTTGCGGCCGCACATATCATGTGCGGACCGCACTTTGCACATTTCTCCGATGGAAATTTCTTCACAACCTGCGGCCGTAGATGATAATTTGCGGTCTACACTTTTGAGCTTTTGTGCATGTTTTTGTCTTTGAGTTCAGATTACTCCTTCTTGAGTTGGATTTCATCTTGGGAGCTCATCTTCCAATATTCCTGCAATTAAGCATACTTCATCCGTTTTCGGGGACACAATTAAATGCTTGTGGACTAAAACGAAAGCTAAAAGGCACTAATAAGTAGTCAAAATTCACAATTATCAAGGAGGTAGCTATGAATCCTACCTAGCAAGTAGCAATGACACAAGAGTTTGAAGCTTTATATACTAATCATACTTGGGCTTTAGTTAATTTTCCTACAAGAAAGAAAGCTATAGGGTGCAGGTGGGTGTACAAAATCAATCACAAAGTAGATGGAAGTGTGGAAAGATACAAGGCAAGGCTTGTGGTAAAAAGATATATACATACAGGAGGCTGGAGTTGATTACACAGAAACCTTTTCTCCAGTAGTGAAGATGACTACTGTTAGGACCTTAATCAGCATTGTAGTAAAGAGATGATGGGATCTCTATCAGCTAGATGTGAATAATGATTTCCTCCATGGAGATTTACATGAGGAAGTGTATATGCAAATCCCACAAGGTCTAATGGTGGAGGATACATCACTTGTGTGCAGACTAAGGAAGTCCTTGTACGGCCTCAAACAAGCTAGTAGACAGTGGTATAATAAGCTGGCAGAATCCTTACACTCTAGAGGCTTCAGGCACTCAACAAGTGACTTATCTTTATTCTACAAGAAACAAGGTGGTTCATCAGTTTTTGTGGCAATATATGTAGATGATGTGATCCTTACTAGGACTGACCTTGAAGAAATCACAGCACTAAAGATATTTTTGCACAATCAGTTTAGAATAAAAGACTTGGGCAAGCTGTACTATTTCTTGGGCCTACGGTTGCTTTACAAGTATGATGGAGTACTAATTTCTCAGAGGAAGTTCACCACTGATCTGTTAAAGGAATATGACTACTTGGGTTATTCTCCTGTTTCATCTCCACTTGATTCATCAACCAAACTTAAAGCTAAAGAAGGTACCTTGTTATCTGATCCATCTTATTATAGGAAGTTGATTGGGAAGCTCAATTTTCTCACAAACGCAAGACTACACATTGCCTACAGTGTGAAGCACTTAAGTCAGTTCATGCAAGCACTAAGAGAACACCATCTCAAGGCTACCATCCATTTCCTTAGATACCTGAAGGCTGATCCTATCTTAGGCATTTTCCTATCTAATGATCCTTCTTATGAAGTCACAACTTACTGTGACTCAGATTGGGCTACATGCCTGATTCCACGAGGTCTGTGAGTGGGTATCTTGTACTCCTGGGAGGCAGCCCAATCAATTGGAAATCAAAGAAGCAAACCACTGTCTCTGAAGGTGGTTGGTGAGTTGGTATGGGTCGCGATTACTAGAAGAATTAACATTCTCATGTGATGCCCTCATTCCAGTTTTCTGTGAAAGTCGAGCAGCTGTGCACATTGCTAGGAATCTTGTGTTCCACGAAAGAACAAAACATATAGAAGTAGATTGTCACTTTGTGAGAGACAAGCTGCATGATGGTTTGATTACAATTCATCACATTTCTACTCACAGCCAGCTGTCAGACATCTTAACAAAAGCACTTACAAGGATCAAGCATTATGATCTTCTTGGCAAGTTGGATGTGAATTCATCACCTCCAACTTGAGGGGTGGTATTGAGATTATTGAGTATCAAGTGTAGTTGGTGTTATTTATGTTATATTGCTATTAGTTTGTTACTAGACTTAGGAGGTTAGTAGTTGAGTTGGTTACAAGGGTAGTTTAGTAATTTGTAATTTACTTTCTTTATTTTCCTTTTCTCACGTGTATAAGACTCACTTCAGCTAAATAGGAAAGTACACTATTTTTTTCGAATTTCATTTCTGTCCAAAAGCTTCTCCTCTCACGATGAGAGCTCAAGCTCAACCTTTAATGGAGGTTGATTCTGTTAGTTGCAATCACGACATGGTAAATGAATTAGAATTATAATGTTAGCAAGATAAAAATGTCTGATTAGAAACATTGCGAGAAAGATATTAATTTCCTCTAGCTAAATTAATCAGAAAAGTGACCATATAGGTTTTCCATAACAGCATACTGCATGTTTTCTGAAGGTTTCCAGTGACGTTTTCGCTGATTAATGAACCAATTGTTAATCTGCTTCGGATCTAAACCTGTTGATTCAGCTAGACATACTTTCTCTCCTTCCTGCATTCACCCAGTTCAATAACAGTATTATTCACATCTTTTTTTGTTGACAGAACAATATTTTTTTACGTCTATCAATATTGTAACTCATATAATATTTGTATAGCATCTCAAATGAACATCAAATGGTTACCGTAGGATAAGGCCATTTGTAGTGAGTAGTCCACCAGTTAAGCAAGATTTGCCTTGCTTCTCTTGGGAGTTTTCCCTTCTTATTCTTCTTGCAAAATTCTTGCTTTAGACTACTTATATATCCACTGTACTTGCGCATTAACTTATCCTTAATTTCATTTTCTGATCTGCACATATCATTAGTATTTCCACCACCACCGCTTGTATCAGCCGCCGCCGCCTCCTCCTCCTCCTCCAACCCCGCCGCCCCTTCATCTTTGGAAACAAATTAAAGTACCCATTAGAATTAGTGTAGTTAATTAGATTTTCTTATGTCTTCGAAAACAATGTAACAACTGGGAAATGTAAAAACGGATAATAGTTGATATTAGGAAAATAGTCAAATTTGTCTCTACTATTAGAACTCCAATCTAAGGATAATTTAAACCATAGACAAAAGTTAAAGGGGTAAATCTGAACTTTTTTGTTTTGAAAGAATTTGGACACATACAGTCGTCCACTTATTACGAGACTTAATTGCTCAAGTTTAAATACTCCTGCATGATGCATGTTTCCCATATTATGTGAAGCATTTTCCTACTTAATAGCTCAATTTTAAATACTCCATGCATTTGTCCCATATTATGTGAAGCATTTTCTTTTTTTGTCCGTAAAAAAAGATCTTTCTATATATATTTAAAAATAATTTATTTTATCCATGTAAGATATCACACAATTATCTATGATTTGTTCAAAAATTTTATTTTTTATTTTTTTCTTAAATTTCGTGCTCAAGTCAAATTTTGGACATTTTCACCGCTTGGGTTTTGTAACTGCACAAATAAACCCATCACATTGTGACGTTCATTATGAGTACTGAGAATATATACTAACATAAAAGGACAACAAGAGGGTAACTTTTTATACAAAGGCGTAGGTTCGTTATGTCATTTCAGTGTCAGTGAATCGGAAAAAGATTGTACTACTACATGGTTACAGCCATTAATCTAACATAACCCGCATTCTACGCACTCCTTGTACGTACTTGTTTCTTTTTTGGTCTTTGATGTTTTCATTTGTTGCTCAGTACCTTTGTCATCAGTTCATGTGTAATGACCAATGAGCACTAAAATTATTTTGGCTTAACACTGTTCTAAATAGCAGACTTAACTAAGTCATATAAAGGTTTTTTTTTTTGTTTAATCATCTGGTTTCCTGAACCTGTTGGCCCGACTAAGTTAGATCAAGTTCTTATACGAAAGACACCATGATTTTATAACCAGTGACGAAGCTTTTCCCAAGGTATTCAAATATGAGAAAAGTGAAAAAAAAATTCTCGACAAAGGGTGTTCAGTATGTGTTATATACATCTAAAATATTACGTTTTACCATGTGGCTTCACCATTGGTTATAACCCCAATCTCCCCCTCTCTCAACCCCCAAAAAAATTATCAAAATTTATGTGGTGATATTAAACCTCTACGGGGTCGCTTGATACATGGGATGGGATAAGAATAAAATTTCCCCGAGATATGAGTTTGGGATTAACTTTATTCCATGTCTGGTTTCTAATTCCCGGATAACTTTTACACTAAAATGAGATATCCCACCCCATAGAATATCCTGAGATATCCCACCATTGTACCAAACGAATCCTACGAACATCTAAATTTTATTAGACATTTAACTTGACATATGGAGTACTCAACTTCTTGTCATGTTTGGAGCTGCCTAATTGCCTAAGAAAATTGATCACTTAAAGCCATTTATACATTGAGCATGCATGCAACACACAAATTAAAGATATTACATGGAAAAAAAAGTTCAAAGACATGCAATGTAAATAAATTAATTAAAAGAGCAAGCTTAACAGGAAAAAGAGAAGAAAACAACAACCCATTCAATATGAAGCAATTTCATTTTCTTTGGGCGTATATATGTGTTAGATAAGTAAGAAAATTATGTTGAGAGTCTGATTCGATACCCTTAGGGATTGTTTGGTAGGGAGCATAAGAATAGTGCGAAATAAGTTGTATCCCAGGACTGGTGCCATCCGCGCTTCTTCTGACTATTGAAAGTGGAAGTTCAAGCTTTGAAGCTCATTTTCCAGCATTCAGTAATACATGAATTAGTAATTTATGGGTTAGTAATGCAAGTATTAGTTATGCAGATATTATTTCTTATCTACTGTTTGGTGTGGTGTATTAAAATTATAATGCATTCAATAATTTTTAAGAAAAATAGTTGTTTACAAATGCCCTCCATATTCTCTAGTTTTAAGGGACTTTATGGACAATTTTGTCTTTAGCCATACTAATGCATGCATTAATAGCCTTGGTATTACTAATCCCATGGTTTTCTATGCATTACTTATATATAGGATAATACCAAGTATGATGTATAACTAATACAAGTATTAATTATACACAGGTTGAAAAAATGTTCCAAACAAGGTATTAGTAATGCATAGAGCTAATGCTTGCATTATTTTTTCTAATACCTTCTACCAAACAACCCCTTACTTTGATAAAAACATTACTTAGCCCTAGAAATCCTAAATAGTACTAATTCGCAAAAGAAGCTGAAGTCCTCCATGCAAGGAATGCAATCCCCCTTTTTTCGAAACTAGAGAGGATTCATCATATGAGCTTTACACTAAGCAGTTAGTATTATAAAAATAGAATGTCATAATCTTTCAACTGTTTAATTTATCTTCAACAATACATGGAATAGCAGCTTTGCTAGACTGGATGATAACTTAAAATAATCAAAAGACCATATAATTTGTAAAACCATTCACCTAATAATTAACCAAAACTAAAAAACGCAAATAAAAAACAAGAAGTATCAGATATTGAACAGCACTTCTTTGTGTACTAACTGAATATATTTATGCATACGGCCACAGCTTTTTGCTAGATATATCAGTTATAAAGCCTTAAAATAGTGATTAACAGACAATCATGAATCGAAGCTTGAAACTTATTGGATGTCTAAGGAAGACAAGATCATGCAAAGCCATGGCGATGTATTGGAAACTTAACTTTTTCTTGTACTTGTTTCTGACACAATATCACATGCTCACTATAATTAACAAGATTCCCTCTGCTTCTGACTACTTAAGATGAGGGTTAAGTAAAAGGCTCTATTTAGTTTAGGATTTATTTGTGCAATTTTATGTGCATTAGAAACTCCTTCCAACGGACGTCACTTTTTCTCTTGACAAAGTGGAGGGTGAGACTCTCTTTCGAGGGGTCTAAGAGGATTTCTTTACGGATTTAATTAAGTTATATATATTGACAGTGTATTTCTTCTTTTCCTCTACTAGTAAATTTAGCATGCAATAGCGGGGTTGAAGGTAAGTTCCCTTGGTGAACTCTTTGTATTTCACAGTCGAAGTGGAGGGTTCAAACCTCATCAGTAGCATATGATCCTCTTCCCCTTTCCCCCTCTCCTCGGCTGACGTAATATAAAAAAAAATAGCAATACAGATTAGTTAATTATTATTTTTATCAGATAATTAATCAACTACATAATACTTAATTTATATGTAATTATCTAATAAACAATTTGATAGTATAAATATATATTTTTCTATGTTGGTGCATAAAACTTAGAACTCAATTTTTGTTTTAACTTTTAGAGGAGTTGGGACTTGGGAAGGGAAGCAACTCAGACGAATCTACTGAATAACGTGGTACATTTCTTTCTTCAGTCATGAAAGCACTAGGAATTGTCAAGTCACTCAGAGCCCGTGAGATAGTAGTAGTTGTTTTATTTACCCCATTTATGCAGATAAATTCAAGAAAATAAGAAGTCTGGATAGAACTAGCTAGACCTTTCGTACACCCCTCAACTGTAGAAAGCACTCTTAAATCTGGACATGTTATCTCATTCAAGGTCATGAATTTTGTACAATATTTAGAATGTTTCTTCTTTCTATCTAAAAGAAGACGTTCTGCATTTCACTTTTTATTTCTTTTACAGTTCTTCTTTTTTACTTTTCACCATTACTACTAGAAACAATATAAGAAAGCCCGAGAAGAAAAGTAGTAATGAGAAGCATTTGAGCCATAAAAAAAATACAGTACTTTGTTTTCGTCTTACTTTATGTGTCTTAATTTGATTCTGCAAGGAAAATTAAGAATACAAGGAAAACGTTTGAATCATGTGATTTAAGCTAAATGTGTGTATAACAAAAAAAAATATATCTTTTAAATTTTGTCTCGTCGTCGTTTCTCATCTCTCTAAGGGGGTGTCATTAATGATAAAAAGAGAATATAATGTTGAAGTTAAAAACTTGATAAATGCTGAAAGAGACATTTTCTAGACAAACTAAAAAGAAAAGTAAAACATATCAAATGAAACAATCGACCTTTGATGCCACACCCTAACCAGAACAATATTTTAAGAAATTAAAATGGCATCAATTTAAAGAGCTCTCAATCCTCATCATCAATGTAGCGTTTACCTAATCCTTTGCTTCTTTAGCTTAATGTCGAAGTCTTGCTAAATACGGGGTAGTAAGATTTAGAGATTAAGACCTATATTTAGGTAGCATTTCTTTGCTAAATTAATTGGTCTCTAAACCCCTCACTTCGGGGGGATGAGCACAAGTCACCCAAAAAATGTGCAATGACTAATGATAGAAATGGAAAGATTAATTAGGTTAATTTGCAAGACGATTAATTAGGGTCAGTGTATATAACTAAAATCTTAGTTACTAGAGCAAATAGATAAGAGTGTCTCACATATACATGAGTATAAGGAAATTAAAAAGGCATTCATTTCATGTAGTAAATCCTGCTAAAACACGAGGTCTTGTGCTAAAATGCCCGTGAATTAAAGCTAACAAACTGATGCAAGACACACGCATATATATATATATATATATATATATATATATATAATCAAAGAGAGACAGACCTGAGATATTATTGCTTGTAGTGGCCGGAGCAGTGCAGAGATTGCTAAGTTGAATTTCAATATTGTTAAGAAAAGTAGTTGCTTCATTGAAAGGCTTTTCAAGATCCGATTTGAACTTAGCTAACACATCACAGTAAGTTCCCTGCACCATTAAGTAAGAAGAAATAAGGACAAACACAGCTACATATATATAGATCTCATATTCCAACCCCTAATTAATCCATACAGAAAATATAAACAACAATAACTACATCTTTTTAGTTGGGAGTGAAATATAAAAGAAAAAAAAAAGAGGAATGAAAGCTTGATACATATATACTACTAATAGGATTGAGATGAAGAAAATAGATAGACCATGAAATCATCCAGCTCAGAATCGTTGCTTAGTCGATTTAAGGGAGAGCTATAAAGATCATCTTCCTGGACAATATTGATATTGTCCAGCATACTAACAATCTCAGATGGCGCTCCTACCTGCATATATTAGACCAAAAGATTATTATTAATTAAAATTTTCAAAGAACAAGGGATAATACATCTTATCACTAAGGTCTTCTAGGTTAACCCTAGACTAGTAGGTGCATATCATATACTAGCAATTCAAAAACCCTAATTATAATCAAAGCAGTTTTTTCTTCATTGTTTCTCCAGGCCTTCTTGAAGAATTTAACCGTGCCTGCAATTGTTTCCTGTTATTTTACCTCCTTATATATATTTAGTTTAAAATACTACCGAGACAGACAGACACAGTAAACAAGACTTGTTTTCCCTCTCCTTTTGTGGATCAGCTGTAGTGAGACGATTGCACGGGTAAAGTAAAACGTACTGTTAATTAAACCTTAACAGTTTGAAAACTGAAAAAATTTACCTTGTGGCAGTCGATGCAAGTACGAAGAAGCTTAGGATACAAAGGATGAGAAGAGATCTTTGCTCTAATATTCATGTCATGATGATGTTCTTGTAAATTAGAAGAAGACGTCCCGCTTTTATCAACTACTGAATTAGCAGCTGAAATTTCCGAACTTGCCCACGACATATTTCCGGATCCAAATTCCATAGGGACCACCCCATCGCAAAACGCCGCCGGCGATCCAAAATATGGCGGCTGCAAATGGTCGTTGACGGAGTAACCAGTACTACTGCTAGAACCGAATTCGTACATTTCCTCCATTGATCAGTTAATGTTAATTTCCTACTATGCTCTTAATTATGTTGTTGCGATCAAAGAAGGATCAGAAACAATCTTTAGGCTACTTCTTTCTCTAAATTTATGCTATAATAAGGTTCCTAATTAAATTTTGAGAAGTAAAAATTAAGGAGAAAGAGAGGCGGAAGGGAGGAGATCGAGCTGATGCTTGGTGGAGAGAGAAACTTTTGCCTACAAACAAATGAATTACCTGGAGAAAGTTATATAGCTGCAGCACCTGATGATCAGGAAAAGGAAGCACTCTCATCTTTATTTTAATCTTCTAAATGGATTTATATAGATTTTTTTACAGCATCAGTAAACTTTAACATAGATTATTTGTCCTTTTTATTAGACTAGTTGTATTGGGGAAAATTGTATTTATATATATATGGTGACGTGTCATGACACGTAGACTGGTCAAACAGTCAAAGAATTAAGGTTGGTTAACAGATACGAGCAACAACAGATACGAACAAGTTAAATGGAGAAGGCACGAGCAGTCATACAAGTAATTCAACGCTCGTACCTATTCAAGACATTTAAAGGTCAAAGATCGTGAAGAGTCAAAGGAATGAATCTGACAGCAAAAAAGAGCCCAGATACAGCACTTAATGAGTATTAAATACTAGAAACGTTAGAGAATATGTATTTAATGTATATGATTACATAACGTAACATTTAAGGTCATTAATTACCCATAATTGTCTTATTATGACAAAGGTAAAGTCTGCATTCCCAAAATGGCTATAAAAGGGAAAGTCACAAACAACTGTAAGCACGAAAAAAACACTATTGGAATATACTTTGATTTACTTGCTTTCTGATTATATTATTCACAAATTTCTTTCTTTATATACTCTTTTCCGATTATCAGTAACCCGTGTTCTTCTAAATTCAAGCTTTGACCTAAAATCTAATTTTTGGTTAAACAAATTTGATAATCAATTATATCTCAGCTTGATTTTCTTTGTGGAATCAACTATGTCGAACAACAATGACAATATCCAAGGAAACCCAATCAACTAGCAAAATCAGGGAGATCCGCAAAATGATCAAACCCCACGAGACTCACCACGACAATCTCGTGAAGGCACTCCTGAAGGAACTCACACAGAAGAACGAGGTCAATCTGAAAATGCTGAAGCTATGGATGATGCCTTACAAAAACTTATCGCTACTCAGGTCAACAAAGCTTTACAAGCTTTTGTTAGTCAATTACCTGCTGCTCCACCCACACCTACTCCAAATAACAATATTTTGGAGAACCCTCGTTCTGGACTGGTTAATTCAGGCAGCGGTGGAACCCCCAGTGAAACACAGGAGGGAGACCCAGGTAATCCAATTAATCCTGATTTGCAAAATCTAGTGCTAACATTGCAGAAACAGCTTAGGGAGCAAAACGACCGCATAGAACAAATACCTGGAGTACCACCCGTGATCAAGGGAGTAGATATAGATAAATATTCTCAACAGCCATGGAAGCCAAGTGCCGCCCCTCTCCCAATCCCAAAGAAGTTCAAGATGCCCGATTATCCAAAGTATGATGGGACAACAGACCCACGAGATCATGTTACCGCATTTACAACAGGAGTCAAGGGCAATGATTTGACTAAGCAGGAGATTGAATCAGTCTTGGTCAAAAAATTCGGTGAAACACTCACTAAGGGAGCACTAACATGGTATTCTCTCTTACCTGAAAATTCTATAAATTCTTTTGCTGAGCTTGCAGATTTATTTATCAAAGCACACTCGGGAGCTAAAATAGTTGAAAAATGAATGGAGGATATCTTCAAAATCAAGCAAGGAGATTCAGAGCTGCTCAGAGAATTCGTGGATAGATTTTAACGGGAAAGAATGACATTGCCACGAGTACCTGACAATTGGGCAGCCATAGCCTTCACCAGCAATTTGAATGAGAAGAGTTCAGAAGCCATGAGGCGACTCAAGGAAAGCCTTCGAGAATTCCCAGCAACAACGTGGAATGATATCTACAACAGATACAATACAAAGATGAGGATTGAAGAAGATATTATTTTACGACATAAAACAGAAGAAAAAGTAAGCTCATGTACGAGCCTTACATGGGACCTGCGAGAAAGGACTCACGGTCAAGGCAAGATAATCAAAGGTACGATCACAAACCTAGAAATAGGGAATCAGGCTCCTCATCAAGGTTCGGGAATGATCGGAACACACGCGGGTCACGAGACGATGATGGAAGTCTAAAGGCATGGTTCGGTGGTTACAACTTCAACATAAGCACCTCTGAACTCGTAGCTGTTTTAAGAAGCATGGGAGATAAGGTACGGTGGCCAAAGGAAATGCGATCGAATCCAAATAGACGAAACCCTGATCATTGGTGCGAATTTCATAACGATCACGGGCATAAAACAGTAGATTGCAGGTTTCTGCAAGGTGAAGTTGATCATTTGCTAAAACAGGGGTATCTCACTGAGTTATTCAGTGAGAAAGGTAAACAAGCATACATGAATAACAAGCAAGAGCCTCCAAAACCACCTTCACCCAGGAGAACTGTCAACGTTATAAGTGGGGGTGAAGAGATTAACGATGTATCATATAAAAAGGTTTCAAAAGTAATAATTACCCACGGGAAGCGGCCTCGACATGTACTGGAAGAGGAGAATATTATATTCAACGACGCAGACGCCGAGGGCCTCTTAACTCCGCATAACTACGCACTGGTAATATCTTTACTTGTACATGACACTAACGTGAAACGAGTTTTAGTTGATCCAGGTAGTTCTGTAAATATTATTTTAATACGAGTATTGCGCGAGATGCAAGCGGAGGATAAATTGATTCCAAAAGCACATACTTTGTCGGGATTTGACAACTCTAGTGTTGTAACGAAAGGGGAAGCAATACTTACTACATTCGCAGAAGGCGTCGTTAAAGATACCAAATTTCAAGTCGTAGATATGGAAATGGCTTACAATATGATTCTTGGGAGGCCATGGATTCATGACATGGATGTTGTTCCCTCAACCTTACATCAAGTTATTAAATTTTCATCTCCATGGGGAATACGACAAATCAGAGGCGATCAACAAACATCTAGGAACATCAATTCCGTTGCAGATTCAACTGTTAAGGGTGAAGACAAATAGCAATTACAGAATTCAGGTGAGGGTAACACGGTGTCAACCTCACTTGAACAAAGGCAAACGGATGTGGATTCAAGACCTGATACCATTCAAGAACCGAAGGAGAACGAGATCATCAAAAGAACGATAGAAGAGCTAGAGACCGTGGTGTTATTTATACATTGGCCCGAGAGAAAAGTGTACATAGGAGCTAATCTTAGCCCGGAGGTAAAACGTAAATTGATTGAATTTTTAAAAGCTAATGCAGATTGTTTTGCTTGGTCCCATTCTGACATGACAGGGATACCACCGGAAGTCATGACCCATAAATTGAATGAAGATCCATCATATCCTCCTGTCAAGCAAAAGAAAAGAAAGCAAGGAACTTTCAAGAATAAGGTGATTCAAGAAGAAGTTCAAAAATTGCTAAAAATTGGTTCAATTCGTGAGGTAAAATATCCTAACTGGTTAGCTAATACTGTTGTGGTTCCTAAGAAGAACGGTAAGTGGCGAGTCTGTGTAGATTACACAGACCTTAATAAAGCCTGTCCAAAAGATTCTTTTCCTTTACCGCACATAGATCAATTAATTGATGCTACTGCAGGGCATGAGCTATTAAGTTTTTTAGATGCATATTCAGGCTATAATCAAATCAAGATGGATCCAGGAGATGAAGAAAAAACTTCTTTCATAACAGACAGGAGGACTTACTGTTATAAGGTAATGCCCTTTAGTCTTAAGAATGCAGGCGCAACGTATCAGAGGTTAGTTACCCAAATGTTTCAAGAACATTTAGGTAAAACCATGGAGGTATATATAGATGATATGCTAGTTAAGACTCAACATTCGGAAGATCATATATCGCACCTGTCTGACACGTTCAAAATTTTACGAATATATAATATGAAGTTGAATCCAGAAAAATGTGCATTTGGTGTGGCATTAGGTAAGTTTTTAGGTTTTCTTGTTTCTAACTGCGGTATTGAAGTGAATCCTGCACAGATTAAGGCCATTTAAGAAATCCCTGATATACTTTCGAACAAGAAAGAGGTTCAAAGACTAACGGGAAGAATCGCGGCTTTGGGAAGGTTCATTTCTAAATCATCGGAAAAATGTTTCAAATTCTTCTCGGCCCTTAAGAAGCATGATCATTTTGAATGGGATGAGGAGTGTCAACAAGCACTTAGGGATTTGAAAACATACTTGTCAAATCCACATATGCTAGCAAAACCAAAGGCTGGGGAGAAACTTTTCATCTACCTTGCTGTTTCAGAAGTTGCGGTAAGCCCAGTTTTGGTTCGAGAAGAGCAGGGTAAACAATCTCCTATCTATTATGTTAGTAAATCTTTGTTAGATGCAGAGACACAGTATCCGTAATTGGAAAAATTAGCACTTGCTCTAATCATGGCATTTAGGAAGTTAAGACCATATTTTCAATGTCATCCCATTGTTGTAGTGACTGCATACCCCTTACGTAATATATTGCATAAACATGAATTGTTAGGGAGGTTAGCCAAATGGGCCATAGAGCTAAGTGAATATGAAATCACGTACCTACCTAGAACAGCAATAAAATCCCAGATATTTGCTGATTTCGTGGCTGACTTTAGCCAAGGGGTGCAGTTAGAAGCAGAAAAAGAAATACAAATACTTAATAGGGCTAATCCAGGAACATGTACCTTATTTACTGATGGCTCATCTAACGTAGAAGGTGCAGGATTAGGAATTGTTTTAGTACCACCTACGGGTGAAACTATAAGGCAAGCTATTAAATGCCATTCCATAACTAACAATGAAGCGGAGTATGAAGCTGTGATTGCAGGTCTAGAATTGGCACGAGAACTTGGTATAAATCAAGTGGTGATCAAAAGTGATTTGCAACTCGTGGTTAATCAAATGCTGGGGACTTACACAGCTAGGGAAGCAAGGATGCAACAATACTTGGAAAAGGTACGGGAACTGATAAAGCAATTCCAAACTTGGAAGGTCATACAAATATCAAGGGATGAAAATGTTGAAGCAGATGCCTTAGCTAATCTCGCATCCGCAGTTGATGTGGCAAGTGATGCAAACGCTTCAATTATACATTTATTTCATTCAGTTCTTGAACCTGATAAGA